GCGACCCCCGCGCTGCGGGCCCAGCTATTCCCGGAGCGCGTCTCTCCCGGCCTGGGCCCACGTGGTGAGGGGGCACATCTGCAAGATCTGCCTCTGGGAGCCGGCCCCGCCGAGGCTGCTCAGGAGCTCGCCCCCTCCCCACCCGCTGTCCTTACCGAGCTCCCACCCCCTCGGAAAAGAGCATCGGAATCCCCGTGCCGGGTCTTGCTCCTCGAGGGGGTGTACGGGACCGATTCGGTAATCATTGAACGGGGCATGTGTGTTATACCCGGCACTGCAGTAAGCTTGGGATTCAGGTGTGAATAAAACACAGTTCTTGCCCGCAAAGACTTTTCCTTTTTATAGAGAAAACACATGTAAGCATAATTTAACACCAAACAACGGTTGTGCCGTCCACACATTGTTATACCGTCCAGAGGGAGGATATATTCAGCGCCCGGGTTGGAAGGATTACTTGGTCTCCGTTCCCGAAGGAGGTGTGCCTGGCCCGCAAGGCCACGGGAGTAAGGTCATTATAGTTAGGGCTCCTGGGGTGAGCAGGTGCAGCGATGAAGGAAGGTGTAGAGACTGGTTGTTAGGCGAGGAAACAAAACAAATCGGATATTATTAAAGCTGAAGCTCGAGGTCAGGAATGAGCGCTGAATCTGGAAAGGGGACCTGGAATCTAATCATACAAGAACTTGCCTTGATAAGGGGTATGCATTTTACCTGGTGTGAAGGGGAGCCATTGAAAAATTTGACATAGATTTGCAGTTTATTTATTTATTTATTAAATGTATTTTTATTGATTTCAGAGAGGCAGGAAGAGAGAGATAGAAACATTCATGATGAGAGAGAATCATGGATTGGCTGCCTCCTGCAAGTCCCCCACTGGGGATCGAGCCTAAAACCCAGGCATGTGCCCTTGACCGGAATTGAACCTGGGACCTTTCAGTTCTCAGGCCAACGCTCTATCCACTGAGCCAAACCGGCTAGGGCTAGATTGCAGTTTAGATGGACCACTTTGGTAGCAGGGTGGTAGATGGCCATCAGGGGAGATGGTCAGGCTAAGACACAAGTCAGGGAGATGAGGTAGGGCAATGGTACAGGCAAGGATGATGAGGTCCTGAACTTGAAGAGAAGTACAGAAAACATTGTCTCAAGAGATGTTTGGGTACATCAGTGCGATTTGGCAATTGACTGAATTTAGGGAGAAAATCCTACATGACTTCCAGGTTTCTGGGTTAGGGTTGGATGTCCTTAAAGTGGGGAACATGCAAATGGGAGACAGTTTTGGATGAGAAAGTGAGTTGAAGGATGATTTTAGTTTTTGGCATGGTGAGTGTGAAGACCATGTAGGATATGTCAGGGGAGAGGCCCAGCAGGCACTTAAACTTCTGAAACTGGAGAGATATCAGGGCTGGAGATACAGAATTGGGGTGTCGTCAACTCAGTAGAAGCTGAATAGACAGAATGACCAGGGGTGGGCAGAGGAAGGGAGAAGAGCAATGGGCAGATGATGGAATCTGGGAAAACATTTAAAAGTGAATGAAGGAGGTCTGGCCCGTGTGGCTCAGCGGTTGAGTGTGGACTCAGGAACCAAGAGGTCGCTGGTTCGATTTCCAGTCAAGGCACAGGCCTGGGTTGCGGGCTCGATCCCCAGTAGGGGGTGTGCAGGAGGCAGCTGATCGATGATGCTCCCCTGTTTCTATCCTTCTTCCTCTCCCTAAAAATCAATTAAAAGCGTATTTTTAAAAAAAGAGTGGATGCAGGAGGAGACTAACATAGAATGATCAGAGAATCGAAGAGAGAATTAGAAGAGAGTTCTGTCAGAAAAGAAGGGAGGAAAGAGCATAATGCCAGGTGGTGACGAAAGGCCCAATAAGATGAAGACTGACAGTACCTGTTGGATATGGCTACTTGAGACCATTGGCAACTTACCAAAGCAGCTTTGGTGGGGATAAAAATAAGTTTCTGAGTTAAAGAATCATAGGGAAGCTGAGATGATTTATTTTTTTAAAAATTTTACTTTATTTATTTTAGAGAGAGGAAAAGAAACATTGATGTGAGAGAGAAACATTAATCAGTTGCCTCCTGTACGTGGCCCCACCAGGATCAAACCTGAAACCTGGGTATGTGCCCTGACCAGGAATTAAACCTGTCACTTTTTGGTGTATGGGATGATGCTTCAACCCACTGAGCCACACCAGCCAGGATGATTTAAATAACACTTTAAAGAAGCATGGGTAGAAGGAGGAGAAAGAGAACAGGGAAAGAGCACATGGGCCTTGTAGGAATTAGTATCAAGGGAAGTATATTACATCAGTGGAGGGAAAATGGCCAATTGGAAGGAGAGGTTAAAGATACAGGAGAGAAATGACCTTTTATTGACTGCTTATAACTTCCTGGAATTATACTGACCACTTTGCATATATTATTTAATTTTCAACAGTATTATAAAGTAAGTGCTATTATTTCCTTTCTACAATTGAGGACATTGAGGTTAGGAGGCCTGTCTTACTTAATTGCTGATCGTCTCACAGCTTGTAAGTAGTGGAGTTGGGTTAACTAAGGTCTGCCTATTTTTAAAAAAATATATATTTTATTGATTTTTCACAGAGAGGAAGGGAGGGGGATAGAGAGTTAGAAACATTGATAAGAGAGAAGCATCGATCAGCCGCCTCCTGCACACCCCCTACTGGGGATGTGCCTGCAACCAAGGTACATGCCCTTGACCGGAATCGAACCTGGGACCCTTCAGTCCCCAGGCCGACGCTCTATCCAGTGAGCCAAACCAGCTAGGGCAGGTCTGCCTATTTTTTAACCAAGACACAGGATCCCAAACAGTACAGAAAGAGATGGGTTCAAGGGTACAAGTGGAGAAATTGATCTTGAAAAGGAGGATGCTAATAGATGAACTTGCCAAACTAGACTGAATTCCTTGAGAACAAAGACTGTGTCTTGTATCTCTTACTCCACTGCCAAGCGGATGAGTAAATGGAAGGAGAAAACTATAATTTACTTTTTAAAATTAGTAAAAGTGAAGCCTTTTTATGTAAGTGGTTTGTTGATTTTTCAGTCTTCCAGTGTTTACTCAGTCTGACCTCACAGCAACCCAGTGAAATAGATGTTATCTTTTTATTTTTTATTTGTGTTGATTTCAGAGAAGAAAGTAGAGGGAGACAGAGATAGAAACTTCAATGATGAGAGAGAATCACTGATCGGCTGCACACCCCTCACTGGAGATCAAGCCCATACCCAGGCATGTGCCCTGACCAGGAATTGAAATGTGACCTCTTGGTTCATAGGTCGATACTCAACCACTGAGCCAAGCCGGCCTGGCAAAATAGATGCTATCTTTCTTTTACAGATGAGATGTTATCCTCTGTTTGGGTTGAAGTAGCTTACCTATGGTTGTTTAGAAAGTCTGTCAATCCTGTTACAAGAGAGATGCTTATGATCCTCCTAATGTCTCTTTCCTTAGCTCTCTTCCTCCGAACCCCAGTGGTCAGACCTGCTCAAATCTCGGCATTTCTCCAGGACCAACCTACCCCAGGATGGTGTGGAATACAGCACATTCACCTGTCACCCAGCCGCCATTGTATGTTTTCTCCATTGCTGCTGCTTTCTGGGCTCTGGCCATCTTCATCTTAGCTAATTACCATGTCTTTGGGAGGACTTGTTGTCTGTGGGGGGAACTTTTGTGTCCAGCTCTGTCAAATGAAGACCTAGCCTACGCCTTTGGGCAGACAACACCAACATGGTTGAATGATGCCATTTACACTCAGAGAATCTTCTGGTATAAGTTTTTTTAAAAATGTTTAATTTTTTAAACAAGAATATAGCTTTAGGAAGAGTCTGTTCAGTAGTTTAGTTATTCTTATTTATTTAGTTGATGGAGAGGAGCCAAATATGAATAACTTAAAATAGTGGGCAGTTTTTAAAAAGTTATGCATATTTATAGTTGTAATTAACTTGTTTGTTTTTATATAGATTGATATTAAAATCATGGCATTTCTTGGATGAATACTGTTTAGATATTATTAAAGTTAGTCTTAGAAAGCCTGTAGGTGAATAATGAGTTGACTGTAATTCCATTTTTGAAGTCTGGAAAGATCAAATAAAGACTTCTCTTGACTCTTAGATCAACCACTTAGATATAGTTGCATCTGAGTTATGAGAAATTATACAGTGTAATCTTTTGCTTTTTAGACTAACTTTATGTTTGAAAAGTTTTTGTTTCTGCATTTTGTTGCTTAGTTTAGTTAGATTTAGAAGAGTAGTTTTAACTTGGGATGCATGGGACTGAAAATCCTGAAGTTGTATACATAGTTTTAATGTATGTGTTTGTGTGCATTTTTTCTGGAAAGTTGCTCTATCCTTTTATTAGATTCTCAAAGGGGGTCTGTAACAAAAAAAAGATAGAGGCTCTCAAGGAAATGTTTATAGCCCATTTAGTTTTTCACTTGCTTATTGTTCCATTTCTGTTTATGAGCAATGGGACAGAACAAGGACCATGGTCCTAAAAGAACTTTGCTTCTCTGAGTTGGCTGTTTTCATTTAAAAGAAAAAAAAAAAGTAATGTTTTAAAGGAATTTCTCAAGTATCCCTAACTTGTATTCATTAGGTATTTGTCCATTATACTGAAGTCGAAGGTTGGTAATTCTGAAAATATATTTTGTCCATTTCTTGCCTATAAGTAAAGTGGATCTGTCTTCTAATCAACATGTGTAGGTGTTGAGACAACCTGTACTCAAAAAGGGCAGGCGGAGGGGGGAAGCATCTCTTTCAATTACCTCCTTTATCTTACCCTGTTTTATGCTCAGAGTTAAGTCTTATATGCATATTGTTTGCTCTTCTGTCAATTTGAGTTATTGTGTGGCAGATACTGAATGTGAGAGTTAGGTTTACCCCTTCAACTCTTATGAATCTGGTTCCTCCTTTCTATAGCTGGTTCCAAGGCTGCGTCTCTCCACTGGACTGGGGAGAGGGTTGTCAGTGTTGTGCTCCTGGGCCTACTTCCAGCTGCGTATTTGAATCCTTCTTCTGCGATGGACTACTCCCTGGCTGCGGTCCTCTCTCTCCATAGTCATTGGTAAGTACAGCAGTGCTTTCAGTATTATGTTGTTAGTTCAGCTTGTTTGCTGTGAGCTTGTTTCATTATCTATATTATAAAAACCCAGTGGCCCTAAGGCTGTAACGACCAAAGACCGGTCACCAGGAGGCTGCGTGCTCAGCAAGGCGCACATGCAGGTGGGTGGGACTTGACTCTGGGTCTCGCAGCATGGTGGGACTCGGGGGAGTCCCGCAACGCTGTGAGGTCTGGGTCTCACATGATTTTGTGCGCTGGGTCACTAGTTGCATATAAGGGAGAAATTGAAATACTCAAGACCTGTAGAAAACATAATGTAAGGTATTTCTATGCCCAGATCTATATATCCACATGCCCATTCGATGTCTTCATTCCCATATCTAATAGACTTTTTAAAAAATATATTTTTATTGATTTTAGAGAAAAAGGGAGAGGGAGATAGAAACATCAATGATGAGAGAGAATCACCGATTGGCTGCCTTCTGTACGCCCCATGCTGGGGATTGAGCTCGCAACTCAGGCATGTGCCCTGACTGGGAATTGAACCATGACCTCCTGGTTCATAGGTCGATGCTCAAACCCTGAGCCACGTCAGCTGGGATCTAATAGACATTTTTAATGTAGCATGCTATAGAACTGAGTTGCTGATGTCCCCCCAGATCGCTTCCTCTAGCACTCTCGCCCATCTGAATTAATAGCATTTCTGTTCTGTTTGTTCAAGTTCCAAACTTGGTCATTATCTTCTATTCCAGTAGTAGTCTCTTAACTGGTTCTCCTTCTGTATATTCCCAACACAGCTGCCCCCTGATTCTGTTAAAATATTAAGTCAGGTCAAGACAGTCCCCTTATCAAAACCCTTTGTTGTCTCCTAATCATACTCAAACTAAAAGTAGAATTCTTACAGTGGTCTAGACTCTGTGTGATCTGACCCATTTCTCCTTTATCCCCAACTATTATCCCTCATTCCCACTGGCTTTCTTAATAGTTCTCAACATGCAGGGACACTCCTGGCTTCAAGGCTTTACTCTTACTGTTCCTTCTGCCTGAAACTCTTTTTCTAGTTATATACTTGAATTGTCCCTCATTTCCTTTATGTCTTTCATGTCACCTTCTTATTGAAGGCTTCTCTACTTTTACTCAAAATTGCAGTGCCCTTCCCAACATTCCTTATCCCTTTCTTGTTTTATTTTTCTCAGTAGCACTTACTAAATTCTAATATAACATATCATTATCCCATCTAATAAAAGAGTAATATGCAAATTAACCATCACCCTGTCATTCCGTCACAAAGATGGCGGCGGCCACAGAGCTGGAGCGAGCAGGAGGCTTGGGTTGACCCCCGGCGATGGAGGAAGCCAAGCATCGCCCCTGCCCTAGCCAGCCCTGAGCTCTGCTCAAGGCTACAAAGTTTCAATTATAGAAGATAAATAAATCCTAGATACCTGCTTCCAGCCCGGGGCTGTGGCCAGCCTGAAAACATCCATCAGCCCCTCACTCAGGCTGGCCAGGCACCCCAGTAAGCCCCCCCCCCCCGAAGGGGGTGTGGCCAGCCTGAAAACAGCCCTCAGCCCCTCACCCAGGCTGGTCACACTCCCATGGGGTGAGGGTCCCCACTGGGGTGCCTGGCCAGCCTGGGTGAGGTGAGGGGCTTATGGCTGTTTGCAGGCTGGTCATGCCCCCCAGTGGGGACCCCCACTCTGAAGGGGATGTCGCCAGCCTGAAAACAGCCCTCAGTCCGTCACCCAGGCTGGCCAGGAACCCCAGTGGGGACCCCACCCTCATCCGGGACACCCTTCAGGGCAAACCAACCGGCCCCCACCTGTGCACTAGGCCTCTATCCTATATAATAAAAGGATAATATGCAAATTGACCCTAACAGCAGAACGACTGGGAATGACTGGTCACTATGACACACACTGGCCACCAGGGGGCAGATGCTCAATGCAGGAGATGCCCCCTGGTGGTCAGTGTGCTCCCACAGGGGGAGCTCTGCTCAGCCACAAGCCAGGATGATGGCTGCCAGCACAGCGGTGGTGGTGGGAGCCTCTCCCACTTCCTCAGCAGTGCTATGGATGTCCGACTGTAGCTTAGGCCTGCTCCCCACTGGCAAGTGGACATCCCCTGAGGGCTCCCGGGCTGCCAGAGGGATGTCTGACTGCCAGCTTAGGCCTGATCCCCTGGGAAGAGGGCCTAAGCCAGCAGGTGGACATCCCCTGAGGGGACCCAGACTGTGAGAGGGCACAGGCCAGGCTGAGGGACTCCCCCTGAGTGCACAAATTTTTGTGCACCGGGCCTCTAGTTATTTTATATATTCCTAGTCTCCCCCCAACTAGAATAAAATCACAAGCATAAAGTCTCTGGCTTAATGAATAATTACCAGGGTAATACCACCCAGGTCAAGAAGTAGAACTTCGCCATCTACTCCAGAAGCCTCTTCCTTGTGTTCTATCACCTCATAGCTGTTCAGTGTCCCTCATCAGGAACCTGATTTTTTACAGTAATCACTTCCTTCTCTTTCATCATAATTTTATCACCAAAATATGCACCCTCTATACTCTATTTCAGTCTTGCCCTTTTTATTTTTTTATTTTTTTTAAAAATATATTTTATTGATTTTTTGCAGAGAGGAAGGGAGAGAGATAGAGAGTTAGAAACATCGATCAGCTGCCTCCTGCACACTCCCTACTGGGGATGTGCCCGCAACCCAGGTACATGCCCTTGACCGGAATCGAACCCGGGACCTTTCAGTCCACAGGCCGACGCTCTATCCACTGAGCCAAACCGGTTTTGGCTAGTCTTGCCCTTTTTAAAAAAAAATACGATGCAGATTTTTGACAATTTTTGTTTGCTATTGTAGTTTTAGTGCCTAAGTAGTACCTGACACATGGCACTAAGAAAATATTTGTTCAATGAATGCATTTCCAGTTTTTCTTTATTATGTCCAGTGTAGTTTATTAGACTTTCTTAACCCATTGTGTGCCATAAGCGTCTGTAGACACAAGTGGTGGACCTTCCCCACATGCCTTGTGCATCTGTAAAAAAAAATGTTTTCCCTAAGTGGAAGTTCTGACCAACTTTAAAATCATTTTTCGTGAGAATTTTCAGCTTAAGATATTCAAGAACACCTGAATTGTAATACATTTATTTTTATAATATTTATTGCAAAATAATTTTTAAAATTAAATTCAAAATATCATCGCGTGTGGGGGTGGTTTCCATTTTGGATGCATGGCAGTTAACTGGTTAATTAATGACCCTTCTATAAAGTTTGTAGGTAACAATTGGGTTCCTTGAGTTCATTTTATGTTTTTTTGTAAGGACAGTATGATATCATGGGAAGGTTTGTTAGAACTGAAAGGACTTTGGGGGAGTATGTTAATCAACTCTGTTATTTTACAAATGTAGAAACTAAACCCCAGGGAAGTTAAGTGACTTATCAAATCATTTCCTAGCTAGTGTGAAGGGGATTTGCCTACCTAGTTTTCTGGGATTGGTTAAGAAGAATTACCCTTTAACCACATGTACCTTTCAAAATAAAGGATTTTAGTTGCTATGAAATATTAGATTACAAGTACAGTAATATTTCTCTAATGTGTTTCTTGGAAGGAGATGCATCTAGATTAATGAAAAATCAGAATAAGATAATTTTAAAGTAATACATATAAAAAAATTACAATTGACATTTACCTTACTAATTCTCTCTTTTCACACACATAAGACTAGAAAGAGCCTTCTATCATTATGTACTAGTTCTTTCGTATCCAGTCTCCTTTAACCCACATTAATTGGACTTTTATCCCAACTATTTAACTGAAGTAATTCTTTTTATTTAATAATATATTTTTATTGATTTCAGAGAGGAAGGGGGAGAGAGAAAGAGAGATAGAGAAAGAGAGAGAGAGAGAGAGAAACATCAATGATGAGAGAGAATCATTGATTGGCTGCCTCCTGCATCCCCCACACTAAGGATTAAGCCCACAACTCTGACTTGTGCCCTGACTGGGAATTGAACTGTGACCTCCTGGTTGGATGCTCAACCACTGAACCATGTGGGCTGGGCTAACTGAAGTCATTCTTACCAAAGTCACCAAAGACCTTCATCTTTTCAAATCTGGTTGTTTGATCCCTATCCACTTACTTGAACTCTTAGCGTCATTCAACTTATTTGAATATTCCTTCTTAGAGTAATTTTTCTTTGGCTTCCTAGATACCATACCTGTTTAATTCCACCTCAACAGCTGTATCTTCTTAGTCTCCTCTGCCAGTTCCTTTCCTCTTGGTTGACCTCTGAATAATAACGGTCTGAACTCCAGGCTCAGTCTCAGCCTTCTTAATTTCTCTACACACTTTTCCAAGGTTAGCTCAGACTTATATTATGCTAGATGCCCAGTGCACAAAATTTGTGCATGGTTAGGGTCCCTAGGCCTAGCCTGTGATCAGGGCCGATCGGGGCCTTCCAACTGCCAGCTGAGGCTTTCCTTTGCTGGCTGCCAGCTGGGGCCTTCCTTTATTGCACTCCCTGATGGTCAGCGCATGTCATAGCAAGCTATCGAACTCCTAGTCCCCTGGTCGAACTCCCAAGGGGACAGTTTGCATATTAGGCATATATATATTAGAGTACTGTTGCATGAAATTCGTGCACGGGTGGGAGGGGGGTCCCTCTGACCGGCCTGCACCCTCTCCAATCTGGGACCCCTCGGGGGATGTCCAACTGCCGATTTAGGCGCAATCTAAACCAGCAGTCGGACATCCCTCTCTCAATCTGGGACCGCTGGCTCCTAACCGCTCACCTGCCTGCCTGGCTGATCATCCCTAACTGCCTCTGCTGCCTGCCTGATCACCCCTAACCGCCCTCCTCTGCCGGCCTGTTCTCACCTAACAGCCTCTGCCTTGGCCCCCACCACCGTGGCTTTGTCCGGAAGGAGGACCAGACGACTGGAGTCGACCCGGTCTAATTAGCATATTACCCTTTTACTATAGATGGTCATAAAGTTAGGTTTGTTTTGTTTTAAAGATCTTCATTGTTGAGAGTATAATAGACTGGAGGCCTGGTGCACGAAATTTGTGCACTCGGGGTTGGGGGATCCCTCAGCCAGGCCTACGCCCTCTCGCAGTCCAGGAGCCCTCGGGGGATGTCTGACTGATGGCTTAGGCCTGCTCCCCACAGCAGGCCTAAGCCGACAGTCGGACATCCTTAGTGCTGCCATGGAGGCGGGAG